ATACCATCTCCACGAGGGGCAGGCAGCCTTCTGGTCCAGCCTGTGATAATGTGATTCTTTCTATCAATTGGTAATTGTCCCAGGACTAAAGAACCAAGTGTTAAATATATCAAGTTTTAAAAACACCCGGTGAGTGAGAGACATATACCCCAAGGCATTTGGCTATGAGATGAAAGTGAATTCCTATAATTACATTTTTAAATATTGTATTTTATATTTTGAGAAGTCTCTCTCAGACTCTATTCACTAGCCACAGGACTATTCCCAAAAGATGTGTTTTCTCTGGTGGCGCAAACTTTAGCATGCAAAGGATTCCAAAGAAGCCCCTTTTGCTCAAAACCCCATGGGCAACCTTCTTGGGTGGAACTGAGTTTGCAGAGCAAACGTAACAATTGTTCATAATTTCCAGGAGAGTGTATAGAAGGAGGCTACACCACTGGACAATGGACTGGAAAATGTAAAGTCAAAGTTTTTGTGTTCCTGCTCTGAAGGGCTCTAATAAATTTGGTGTCCCCAACATACACTCTAATACCAGGACATCCCAGTTCGGTCCAGAATCTGGAATCTAGCTCTTTGAAAAACTCATGGGCTGAGGACTCGTCAGGGTGTTTATTTGTGTGGTTTGGTAGGTTCAAGGGGTGTGTGTGTGTGTGTGTGTGTGTGTGTGTGTGTGTGTGTGTGTGTGTGTGTGTGTGTGTGTAGAAGCTCTTTCAGCTCCCTGGATAATTTTTGAACCCCTCTGAAGAAAATTTTGAGGCAGATGCTGGAGGAACTGATCTCCTGAGGGAGTTTGTAAGAACTTGGGCATATGAGGTACTGCTTTGGGACACTGGTGATGAATAAGGTACAGAGTTAGGGATGGGATTATCCTCCCTACCTTTTCATTGAGTCCAGGACCAGGAAATGACACCTTAGCACAGATGCTGGTGTTCTCACAGGGCACAACAGGTACCACTGATGTCTCTCAGGCTGTTCTGAGAATAGAGAACAGTAGCCAGGGAAGCCAGAGATAGAAGATGGTGGCCAACCTCGTGGTGGCTGTGCCTGACAGACTGCTTTCTGGGGCAACCTTTCCAGCTTCTCAAAATACCTGAGACTGGAGGGATTTCACAGGAACAGGTAAGGGCATGAATGGGAAATTTAGGAGACTGATTGTAGTGGGGCTTCATTTGTGCCCACAGACTGACTCAGCCTCGATTTCTGACACTTGGCCAAGAAGCAGCATTTACGAAATGGGGGCTTTTATTAAAACAGTTGAATCTGGCTATAACATGACTCACATTGCATGGGTTAAGGCTTATTCTGGGGCAAATCTTGACAGAAAACAAATCCAGCACCTATGCATAAGAATCACCTCCAGATTTCCTCTAAGCATGCAAATTCTGGGCTCACCCCCCAAAAGTCTGATTGAACAGATGTGGGGTGAGGTCCAGGAATCTGCTAACAAGCACCCTCAGGTGCTTCAAAAGCCAATTAACTGAGGCCCAAGCTTTGACAAACACTGCCCTACAGTGATAAACCAGCAGGCTTGTACATATGGCATGGAGTTGGAAACGTGAACTCCTACAATGAGATAGAAGGTGAACATCTGCACACCAAGGGTCACTCTACCAGCCCCTCTCTTCACACAAGTTACCTTTGGTAGCAGGAGTAGCCTTTGAAGACAGTCTTGCTACTGAAGTCTCAAAGGTGACAAAAGTGTCCACCTGGCTGCCAGGTGAAAAGTTGGCCTTTGCAAACAGGAACTTCTCATCTGAGGACACCTGCAACTCCCATATATTTGCCGTTTCAATTAGAATAAGAGAAATTGGTTAATGGACACAAAGAATGCTTGTGTTTTATAATGATGAATATGTTAATTATCCTGACTTGATCACCACATGTTGTACATAGGTGTTGATACTCAACTTTGTACCTCACAAACATATATAATCAATCACGTTTCAATTTTTAAAAAAAGATCAGTAGTGAAAGAACCCTTGAACAAATGAGTGAGGCAGATAAGTGAGGTGCCATCGCTTTGCTTCGAGGGTTGGATGAAGGAAATGTGTTAAGTTGCCCAATATGACAAAGACACAAAGGAGTCAACCCAGTAAGGGGAACTTCCATGCAATTGTTTCCATGAGATTTCAAGAGAGGACAAAATGTTCAAGAAGCTGAGCCCCCAAGATCTCAGAGCCCTGGAACCAAAAGTTGGTGTGGGAAGTAGAAGACAGGAGGAGCTGTCTAGTGAACATTGTTGTCAAATTGAGGGGTTGGTACCTACATTAGCTTGGGAAAGAGCCAGAGTGAAGAGTGAGCTAAGTACAGCCCAAAGACAGCACTAGAGAGGAAGGGACGGGGCAACAGCCCGGAAGGCAGCCGTTGCCTAAACACCAAGCTAAGCCAGGGAGGCTTGGTGCAACATATGTGATTGTATTGCTGTTGACTGACTTCCTGCTGTTAGTTAGCTAATATTCCAACTTCCTGGGACAGGAATAAATTATAGGTTTTATTCTGTTCCATAGTCCACCGGTTCTCAAACTTTGGTGCGCATCAAACCCCCCTAGAGGGCTTGTTAAGACACAGATATATGGGGACTCCCACATAGGATTTCTGGCTCAGGCAGCTGGGCCAAGCCTGAAAATTTGCATGCATTCTCACAAGTTCCCAGGTGATGCTGAGACTGGTGGTCCTGGTACCACACTTTTAAAACAACTGATACAGCACATCCTTCCCTCAAGGTAGGAGAGGATAGGAGGAAGTTGCAGGGAAAAAGAAGGAGAAAGGGGCCTGATAAGAGGTAATCTGTGATAATGTGGGTGGGGCAGGTTACTCTGTGGAGGCTGCGATTTCAGTAGTTATGGGAAAGTTAAGAATAAAAATGTTTGTGTTGGTGGGTCAATGCAATAAATTTCACATGCAGAATTTACTGCACTAATTTGAAAGCAAATACCCCTGTGAGAAAATAATATTCAAAGTTATCAGTCTTGTATACCTTACTCTCAACAAGTTTTAAAATTCATATCTATATGTAAAACTGTCATCTGCAAATAAAGATAGTTTCTTTCTTCCTTTCCAATTTGAATGACTTTTAGTTCATTTTCTTGTCTAATTGCTCTGGCTAAAACTTCCAGTACAATGTCCAGTAGCAGTGGAGAGAGTGGGCACCCTTGTCTTGTTCTTGAGTTTAGAGGGAAAGCCTTCAGTCTTTCACCACTGAGTGTGAGGTTAACCATGGGTAAAATTCATATCTGAGAATGTTGGGTGGGTAGAAAAAGGGAAAAGGAAAAAGGGAGAGGATGGCCTGTAATTTATTCATTTTAACCTCATTTTGCCAATGACTGGCCTGAGGCTGAGAGTTTTAAAATCCAAGTTACTAAGCAGGATCTAAAGTTAAAACTGATTACCTATTTCTAGTTCCAGTAACTGCTCTATCTTGCAATAGCTGTGAGACCTTGGGCAAGGTTCTTGATGTTTCTGGACCTTAGTCTCCTCTTATAAAATAAGCACTCAAGTGGCACATGATTATCAGGCGTCATCCTGAGCGTAACACAGCTTTAAGGATGGCCTGGCCTGACCACAGGAGAGGCAGCTATCACTTTTAACTGTTTAACAGTTCAAACCTGCCAAGACCAGCTCAGCCACTGCTAGGACTTGATGCTCCTCTCCTCCTGTCTCTCCCAGCACTCTTCCTTTTCTCCACCCAGCGCAGATCTGGATTTCTCTTATTTTAATGCAGTGAACTTTTCACTATTACACTGCAACTTTCTAAAACCTTGGATCAATATGCATCCCATTTTAGTGATAAGAAAATTGAGTCTCAGAAGAGTTTAAGCCACTTACCCAAGATCACATGGCTAATAAATGGTGGAGCTGAGATTTTTCTCCTGTCTGACAACAGTATTTCATTTTTCCACTTTACTACTCAGTGTGACTCCCAACCCAGTACTCTTCAATGCGCCACATACTTTGAACCCTGGTCGCTGCCAAGTGTACCTGGCAATACCTCCGTGTGAATCTCTGCCCCTCTTTTTACTCCCTCATCAGTTATGGAAACCTAAAACAGGAGGGGGCATTCCTTAATCTGCCTGCCCATTCCCACCCCAGCCATTCGGCATGAGCACACAGTCCCATGGTCTCTCAATGAGCTGTTTGTGAAAGGTGTTGGCCATCAGATGGAATAAGCCCTGTAATTTATTCCTGTCACAGGAAACTTGAATATTAGCTAAATCACAAAAGAAAACCAGCCATTCAGGAGTAACACAATCAAACATTTCACTCAATCCAAACATACTGGCAGAAGGGAAAACAATTCCAGCTGTCTTCCAATCTGACGGAATTATTGTATTCCAGGCACGAGTACCTGATGTAGTTTTCAGAGCAAAGGTCTGGTTTGAACATTAGTATTCCTAACTAACAGAGGTCCCACCTGCTGTGACCTCTCCCCAGGAAGAAAGGGTACTGGGGTATAATCCTGAGATGAGAAGCAGGCAGGGCAGCCCAATGGCAGAACACACAAGTGCCTTGGGCACCTTCCTCTTGGGCCTTACCACCATCAGGGGATGAGACCACCAGGAAGGCAGCTGACTGCTCAAGGCCATCTTGTCCCCTCTACCCAAATGCAGAAACACCAGACTGAGTGAGGGCTGGGTAGGAATGAACGTATGTGAAGGATCCCAAAATTGCTGAGAAATGGATCTGAGTGTCTTTCCTGGGTAGGAATGAACGTATGTGAAGGATCCCAAAATTGCTGAGAAATGGATCTGAGTGTCTTATATTTTTAAATGTTTTGTAAAGAATGTAACCAGAATGGGAGTATTGAAGCCACCCTATAAGTGAGAGATGCAGGATGAGAGAGAAGGGATAATGATCTCATTTTGAATTTTTTGAAAAAAGGGAGATTTTTGTAATTAAGATGCATTTGTTATCAGTAATAAAAGCCATGAGTTAAAAGTGGTTTAGGTAATCTTGGTATATTACTTATTGTCTCACAGAACAGAAAATGGGAGATAGGATTACAAGGCTGGCCCAGCCACGTAACAGTATTTTCAAAACCCAGGCTTCTTTTTCCTTTCACCTCTTCCATCATCAGTATCTTGGCTTTTTTATTCTTCCTCATGCTTGTTGCTTCATGGTCACCAGGTGGTTGCTACTGTTCAAGGATCACACCTTCACACAACTGTTTGAAGGCAGGGCACAAGGGGGTATGCCTGGCAGAGTTTTTCTTTTCATAAGCTTCACCCCTAGCAGGAAGGAAAAAATATTTCTCCACAAGACTCCAATAGGATTTCCTTTGTTTCATTAGCCAAACTGGGCCATTTGACTACTTCTAACTGCAAGGTAGTCTGGGAAAGCAAGAATGTGGCTTTCCCAACTTCTGTCATTGGAAGTGCATGAAGTTTGGGAATGGCTCTGGAATAGACAGCTAAGAGTATCTGCTATAGGTATGAATAGAAGTGTGGCCAAAAATAAAGTCTTTCCCTAAGGCCAAATAAAAGATTTTAGAATGTATCTGTGGTTTTAGTAAAAAGAAAGTTTCTATTATTTTTTAAAAATAAACAACAAAAGAAAAACAAAAAAACCCCCAGTCCTGACTGTGTATGTATATATACTTCCACACAGAGTTAAAAAATAAAAATAAAGCAGTGGAGCTTCAAAATTCTGTGTTCCTCTGACCCAATTTATCCCAGGGAAAAATCATGGATGTGTACAAAGTTGTGTATATATATGTATGCATATATGCATATGTATAAGAGTATTGCATATATGGATGTTCATTACATGTGTTTATAATAGCAAACAGCTGAAACAACCAAGCACCGTTTCATCCTCCTCTGCCAGGCTCTAAAGCTGACTACAAAGTTGGCCTGGAGAGAATAGCCCTCTCCCCTTTGTGTTACCCTCTCTGTGCTTTCTACTTCAACATAGGCAAGGTTTTGTGAGACCACTATGTGCTACCTTCACTCTAGTTCTACCTGGGAGGTTTTGCATAATGGCCTTCATGCTACATTTAGAGTCTCTGCCCCATCTCATCACTTGGGGCAAACCCCTCGGGTCTCTCTCTTCCCCCAGGGTTGATTCTCTCCCAGGAGACCCCAGGCAAACAAACCAGTTGAGCCATCACAGTGGTTTTCTCTACATATCCAGCCATGCCTGAATCCCAGTAGGTGGGGCCTGGTCTCACACAGAGCTCCCTACTGCAAATAATAATCAGTCTGAATTCTTCTACCTAGTGCAAGGAGGGCTTTAAAAACAGAGGAGCAGCAAGTCTGGAGTCTCAAGCTCTCGATTCAGTTGAGGGAACAGCAGGAGGAGATCGAACAGGACTGAGGGCTCTTCTTGGAGCAGCGACTTAGTGTGCTGGAAAGCTACTTGACTTTGCTACTTACTTATAGAACAAAATGGGAATTATCCATTATTAGGGCTTGTGATTTGTTAGTCTTAAAAGGAAATGTTCATTATAACAGCAACAAAGGATGTAAAACCTGCAAGATAATTAAGGTGAACTGAATTTTACTTACTCCTAATGCTGTAGGCAGAGTAAAGCTATATGATTTTGTTAAGGAAACATAAGAATATATTCCCTCAGCCAATTAAAATGCTAGATACTAAGACCACTTAGAAATTTACGCTAAAAATTTGCATGACCAGTCTCCAAGATGGAAATGAAAACCTATGCAATGAAGAAATTGTCAAAGGTGACATAACAGAAAGCCAATAGCTCAGCCTTAGAGGAACTATTGATTTTGAGATATCTCTAAGCTAATTGAAATGTTCTAACATAGAGATGGAATTTTAATGCTAGATAAAAGCTTTGAGACAATAGCTTCAATTATTGAGTGCTTACTATGTGCTGGGTGCTATTGTAAGTGTTCTGTATATTTGTACAACACAAGTACATACTATTGTTGTTCCCAGTTCATAGATAGTGAACTTGAGGCACAAAGAAGCCAGGTAACCTGCCAAATCCACCCAGCCAGTACGTGTTAAGAGTCAAGATTTAAACACAAGTAATTTGTCTTTGATCTTGTTAAGACAAGTGAACAGATATGATGTTGATGGGGGGATGGGGGAGAGGGAGGGAGGAAAAGGAGGAATTGGTAAAGGGTCACAAAAACCAACCATATTATATACTGATAAATTAAAATAATAAAAAATAATAAAGAAATACAAGTAATTTGACTCTAGAGCCTGTGCTATTCCATAGCTCACAATGCAGTATCCCACATTTTGAGGTACTTTCTATGGGTTCCAAGTGAATTACCTGGTCAAGATAAATTTAGGTTTCATAAGATGGAGCTTAATTTAGTAACCCCTACTCCCAGGAAATCTGCTCCCCAGACTTGAATTGTGAAAATATTCCCATCCCATCCCAACCATAGACATCACACTCCTCAGACTGAGATGGACAACCTTCCGGTACCCAGGGCAAAAGGAACTCATGTGGCCCATTCTGGTACAATAGACAGGAGTTAGCATGTCTCTTTCCATCCCAGTTCATCTCAGAATGGGCCAGAGGGTAAGCACCATTCTTCTGCCATTTCTGACCCTCCCCTCTCCACCGATAGATAAGCAAATACCACAGTCACAGGTGATTCCGTGACTAGTAAAGGCCTCCTGATACCACACAAAGATGTGCAGTTTTGTCAACTGTTTCATTATTGTTTGGGATCCCTTTATGGGAAGAGGCTCTTCCTCCTTCAGTTGGTACCAAAATGCAGGCTTTCCCCTGTGGCACTGCTGTCTAGACTTTCATCTCTGTACAGCTGGCCAGGGGTGAAATTCCCCAAGGGCCCCTGCTAGGAGTTTGCCTTTCTAAAGGGCCAGTGCTGAGCATATATATCTTCTGTGTGTCTGGGGGCTTTGCTCCTGCTGGAGGCCAAGCTTCTGTGGAAATAGAATCTTCCTTCCTTAAAATCTACATCCTCAGTTCCCACAGTGAAGGAGCAGTCTCTGAGCTGAGAAACCAGTGAATGGCTCAAGGGCTCCACCATGAGGAAGTCAGGAAATGAGATCTCTGGCAAGATATTTCCATTATCCATTCATTCATCAAAGAAATACTTACTGAGCACCTACTATGCGTCATGCAGGACAATACAAATGTAAAGAACACAGTCCTTCCCTAAAAGTGACTCAATTACAATTTCAATACATAGTTTGCCATGGCAGTCATAGTATATAGAGAGCTATGAGCGCACAGAAACTAACCAGTAAAAAAAGCAAGGGAAAAATCTGGAAGGAGAAAGAAACTTTCTGTGTTAAACTTTTGTGGCCCATTGACAAAGCTAGTCCCTCGAGATGAGTCCATGATGAATTTTATCATATACAGGAGATATGCTTGGGATAGACTTTTACTAGTCTAGTTTCACAGAGATGTAAAGTCTGATTGTATCTGGATGTTGCCTTCAGCTGGTTAGACTATCTCAGAGAATTGTGTGAAGGACAGTCCAGGTCCTCTGAGATTTTAGGCTCCAAACCTAGAGAAGTAAACTGACAGGTGGCAGGAATTAGAAGTAGGTGCTGCCTTATGGTCTGGAATTTAAACAAATTGAAGCAAGCGCATTTTTATTTGCCCTTTATTAACCTGAGTTTTGGGCAGGACTTCTTGGGAAACTTGTACAAACTTTTTGAGCAGCTCCTAACATTTTAGACAGTAGATCACATGATATAGCCTAAGGTTTCCAAATTTGTCATACAAAGCCACTGTCAGGATATGCCATTCTGAGTTCTACCTGTACTATTACTTTACCTAATACTTTTAAATTAAATTATTTTTTACTTAAATCTTTTCAAAGATTTATTTCCCAGCTCTATCCACTACAGTTGGGATACACTCTTCTCTCCTACCCAGGGACATCAGAACTCGAGACTCTTCAGCCTTTGGATTCCAGGACTTATACTAGCAGCACCTCCAGCTCTCAGGCCTTTGGCCTCAGACTGAGAATCACACTATCAGCTTTTCTGGTTCTGCGGCTTCTGGACTTGGACTGAGCCACGCTACTGGCATCCAGTTAGCAGACGGCCTATCATGGGACTTCTCAGCCTTCATGATAAGTACCAACTAGAGAGGTCTGGCACTAGTCTCCCCCACCAACATACACACACACAAAGAGACCAAAACAACAGACACACAAGTATATTTTGACTGGAACAACTGAGGAAATACTGCAGATCACCAGGAGAGTGACGAGATCCTTGTGAAGCATGGAAGACGGGAACAGCACCAGAGAGCAGAGCAGAGTATCTAGACTCTGCCCTGCTGCAGGAACCAGACCAAAATCAAGTGCTACAGGCTCAACAGCTGATCTGGTGGCCCTCTACAGAGCTGCCAGGACCTGCTGCACCAGTGTATACCTGCTCTCAGACCAACAGTGGACTGGGCAGGGGCTTTGACTCCACAGCAGGCCATTACAGAATTGCTGGAATTGGCTATACCCTTGCCGGCTTGCACCAGGCTCAACAGCCAATCAGGTGGCCACCTACAGAGCTGCCAGGACCTGTGGCACCTGTGTTCCTTTCTTGTGTATTTTTATTATTTATCTTTGCTGTTTGGTGTTTTCTCAAAGGAACATATACAAATGGATAACAGACACATGAAAAAAATGCAAAACATCACTAAGGATCAGGGAAATGCAAATCAAAACCACACTGAGATATCATCTCACGCCAGTTAGATTGGCCATTATCAAAAAGACAGAGAATAGCAAATGCTGGTGAGAATGCAGAGAAAGGGGAACCATCCTATACTGTTGGTAGGACTGTAAATTGGTGCAGCCATTATGGAAAACAGTATGGAGATTCCTCAAACAACTACAGATAGAACTGCCATATGATCCAGCAATCCCATTCCTTTCTGTACCCAAAGGAATGGAAATCATCATGTTGAAGGGATACCTGGACTCCCGTGTTTATCACAGCTCTACTTTTAATAGCCAGGAGGTGGAACCAACCTAAATGCCCATCAATAGACAACTAGATAAGGAAAATGTGGTATATATACACAATGGAATACTACTCAGCCATAAAAAAGAATGAAATTCTGCCATTTGCAGCAACATAGATAAACTTAAAGAAAATCATGTGAAGTTAAATAAGCCAGGCACAGAAAGAAAAATTCTGCTTATCCTCACTCATAAGCGGGAGCTAAAAAAAAACAAACAAAAAAAGAAAGAAAGAAAGATATAACAATCACAATGATTTGTTGAGTTTTCCAAAGCAGAGAATAGAACTCAGACCAACAGAG